TATCCATCTATCTATTTGTATTTTCTATCCCTTGCTCTCTTAAACAAACAGACGAAGACACACAGGTCTCTCTGTCCCAGTGGGATCTTTCTACAGTCAGCCTCTGACCTGCTGCAGAGACCGGGTGTCTCGGAGCAGCTGTTTCAGCTCCAGACTCAGCGGACTCCTTCAGGAGAAAAATAATGTTGATGATCCGCTTACGATCTGTTGCCTGCTGTCTACTTGTCTGCCTCTATCTCGCCATTGTTGGTTGTTTTGCAAGTTTAGGCCACTCACATTTCACTATTTTTTTCCAAATTATCCCTGACATTTCTCTTCACTGACATAACACTGCAGGTGTATTCAGAACACCTGTTCCAACATTTTTCTTGAAGAACCATCAGCACCCTCCTGGAATAATATGTTTGGCAAAAAAACTGTAGCTTGTGCCTGCAGGATGAAGCCATTACTTTCCTTGAATGATTCACAGAGCCCAGAGCTAGACAGGGGCCATAGAACATGCCAAGCATAATATATATTTACTGTTTCGGTGCTCTAAGCAAGCTGTTGTCAGCTGGATACAATTACTGACAGAAACTCCAGGTCAAAAAATCAAAAGGATTCAGGTAAGGCTTGCTTCCAGAGAGCATGAAATAGCTACCCTGTAGCTCTTTACAGTCACAACACAACCACAGAGGAAGAAACAGAGTGACAAACGGCCATCATTAATCCAATGGTTTTCAACGTTGTTGGCTTGTCATCCCTTGAATTGAAGCCATATCTATTTGCTACCCTTTGTCAGGTTGCATATTTTTAGTTGTGACAAGTTGAGGTCAACTAAAGACAGTAGTGCAGTAAATTGATGCAGTGATCTTAGTCTCTAGACTAGAGGAAACGTTTCTGAGCACTATCTTCTCAAACGCCCTTAAGAAACTTTTGACCCTGAGATTGGGAATCACTGATTTATTCTAATGTATGGTTTGACTAAAAGAGAGTTTTGGTTTATTTAATTGCATAACAGCAGCTGTATTTTCAAGTAGCTGTTAAAGTAGCCTAGTAATTGATTTTGTTGCTGTCAGTGGGTAGAGAAAATAAAATCAGTGACCTGGTTTTCGTAAAAAAAAAAGAAAGAAAACAAGCTGTCAGGTTGGAGAGCTGCCTGCACTGACCGGGACTTTGGCTGCCAGCTGCAGAATCTCATGAAAACTATATAACATTGCAAATGTGCCTAATGCTTGAAGTCTATGTAAATCATAGTTTCAGTCAGAACACTAAAAATAGCTCAAACCTAGCCAAAGGCTTGTTTTTCTAAAAAAAAAAAACACAGCGAAAACAGTGTTGCATCGTGGCTCTCCACAGTTGGTTCAATATCAAAGCCTTAACCTGTTTTGATACCGGCAGCCGGTCTGTCATGTGGGGGAGACGGCAAGGTCGTCTGGGTAAATCCAGTGGAGATGCAGCAGACCTCGGTGCTGTTTGTTTGTTGGCAGGCGGGTCCATCTGGCGGGCAGCGGAAGGATTGCTCATGTGGAGACGCTACAGTAAATGAACATTTTCCTTTTTCTAGCTCTCTCATCGTCTAAGCGTGAACTGTTAATTCCTTGAACCGTCTCATTGCACACTTTCTCCATTGTGTTCAGTCCGAATGAAAGTTAACGTACCTTTCCCAAATCGTAATAATACAGCCCTCCGGACATTGGGTAGGTAGTAGGTAGTGGTTGAAAAACCTTATTTACATACGCGTAATGAAATGCTACTTCCTCTGTTGATAACCGAATTAAGCCATATCATTCGACCTTTAGGCAGTTTGGAAAACAAAACGTTTTGCTAAAATGTGTTCAAAAACATAACAATTAACGTAATTTTCTTAAACTTTTAACACCTTGTTTGTTTACTACTACGTACATGAGTGTGTATCACCGTGTATGGCTGACACTGCCCACCCGCGGTGCTCGTCAGTTCTCACCGGAGTGTGTGGAACTCAAGCCCCCGGCCGGCCTACGAAGAATAGCGGTCGTTAAATATTCATCCTCCGTTCCCGGTGGCACACTTTTCCTCTCCACTGACAGACCCCTGCTGCTCTGAGCCCCGCCAGAGCAGTGGTGAGGAACTATGTAAAGATTACCAAAATGTAAACGGGATTTATTTTAGTTTTTTGATTTTTTTTCATCGTTTCCTTTTGGATCAACTGAGGATGAGGAAACGTGACTACGGAGCTCCGGTGTGGGTGTGCTGGTGGAAAGGTAAGATGCATGCTTTCCTCCTCCAGCCCTTGTGGTCCACACATAAATTGTCAATCCGTTTGCCTGCACACTTTGGTTTATCTACTCGTCTCTTGCAATATAGATCCTAGAGTTGTGTATCTCCTCTCAAGTAATTACAAGAAGATTACATCATTAAAAGCAATGGAAAATGCTTATGTAGCATGTGTTGCACAAGCCTAACACTTGCTGCAGGCCTGTAAACTTACCTCAACTCCAAACTAACCTATTAGGAGTGCTGCAGGTGTAATGCTGGTCCACTAGATAGCAGCAGATTGCTGTGTGTGTGTGTGTGTGTGTGTGTGTGTGTGTGTGTGTGTGTGTGTGTGTGTGTGTGTGTGTGTGTGTGTGTGTGTGTGTGTGACAAAGATGGTCTCCTGCTCCCCCTTAGGACCTGAATGCTTTTGATGAGCCTCATCAAGTCCACTTCTGTCATAAATCTGCCTTTCTCTCCCGGGCATGTATCCCAGTTTCTCTGTGTTGTCTCTTCTCTACAAATTCTATCAAAAGATGGAGGACCACCTGCCAGCAGCGATTGCTTTGGGAAGAGGGAGACTGGCTGCTACTCAGAGCTTTTCACTTTTGATAGGGTATTTTCATTATGCTTCAAAGGCAGATGTACTGTTCGAGACAAACCGTGGGAAATCCAGGAAAAAACATTCTTTCATCACGCTCTCTGTCTTTTTAATGCATATATGCACCCACTCAAAGACATAACTCTGCACATGCACACATATACACTACGTGTGCTCTTTGCTGGTTGGTAATGATCAGATAGACTTACAAACCGAGACCAAAAGATCAGGATCTGGCAACCCAACACCTCTACACTGTAACAGGACAGATCTGGCAATCCGACCCCTTCCCTGTGGAAGAGGAATAATTTGGTTGATGGCACTAATAATCACAGCCCTGTTACTGATCCCTCACTGGCTCTGTTTGTATGTTTGAGAGAGTTCTCCTCTGTTATTGATACCCAGAAGAACAAGACGTCATAAATATCTACAATACAAGTGGGTGTTTCTGCTGCCTCTGCTCCTGTTACGTATGTGGAAATAGGTTGGTGGCTGCCTGCATTGCTCATAATGGTGCAGTTTTAAATGTGATATGTGTTAGAATTATTACGTCTCTTAATTATGATCATACAAATACATACAAACATACACCTTAAAGTATGTTACTCTGAAAAAAAAGGGGTAGATTAAAGGTTAGATTCAGTGTTTTCTAAATTATGTGATGCATGAGTGTATGCAACATGTAGATTATACAGAAATTAGAGGTTGTTAAGTCTTAGATATTTGCAGATTTGATGACATCTTACTGCCATTCACTCTTTTCTTTTGCATCCCATGTCTGTCTGTCTCTCTCTACCTTTTGTATTATTTATGCCCCGCCCCCTCAGCCGCTCAGAGCTCTCCAGTTTCACCTGTAGAGCCAGATGACAAATTAAGACTCCTTCTACGACCCGTCACAAGGATCTCCTCAATTGCACTCAAACACATACACATATAGGCACATGCAAACGCACATACATACACACAAACAGGAAACCCATCTGCCCTTCTTTCTTTCCCTCTCACACACACACAAACTTACTCCAACACACACACTAGCTGTCACACACTCTGAGGAGGGCAGTGTGAACAGAGTACTGTGTTGAGTGAGGGAATGTGTTGTAGTGAGCAACAGAGGACGGAGTAGGTCAAAAGAAATAGCTGAGTGTAACCTAAAGACTTTGACCAGGAGTTTTTTTTTAATTCAGTTTTTTTTAACCGGCTAAAGAAGAGTCCTTCTGCAAGGATGTTACAACTTTGAAGACTGCAGAGATTCTGCCAACCACCAAACTTGCTCAACTGTTATGTTTGTCATTGAATGAGGAGGTGACTATGATGGAAAGCTGTCCTGGTGAATGAGAGTTGCAACATTGCCACAAGAGTTTGTCTTTTACTACAACTTCAAGAGAAACACTTGATCATAAAGATGGTGTAGCTTGAGTTAGTATTGCGTTTGCACGTTTGTGTGGTTTTAATATTTGTATATTGCTGCAGGGATCATACTGTGTGGAACCTAGTCAAATCAACAAAGTAAATGTAGTATTTTGTAAGACACGTGAGGCTAAGCTTTATAATACAGTTAATGATATGCTTACATACACAGAATTTGATTTATAGAAGGTGTTCAGTGTTCTGACTTATTAAACCCTTTTGACCTTAAAGCCTAGAAAAGAGTTGGACATGATGGTTAGAGATTGATAAGGATTGTATGTGTAGCAGAAAGACACCACTGAACTGTGTGTGGTGCCAATAACTGAGCGTTTATTTAGGGTGCTTGCGTAAATAGTCACTCCGAGCATCAGAGCAGTTTCTTGCACACACTGGCCCATTCGTAAATTCAGAGCACTGTTGAAATACTGTTTTGTTATTCAACACACCAAGCGCATAGAATATGTGATGAACATCTTAAATGGCTGGAAAGATCCTAGCAAAATGCAAAGTATGGAGCAAATTTAATTTAATAATTCAACACTCAACAAGTACTAATTTTTGGGTCTACATTCTTAAACCAAGTAAAACAATCTATTTCTTCAAAGTACAGCCCGGTCATTTTTGTGTAAAGTGTAAGATTGGATTTACAAACGCACCCTTAACTACTGGTTTTCATTTATTCTATGCTAAAGTTTTTGTTAATATCACTGTGTCTGTGTGTGGGATACATATTGTTGACATTTACTTATGTCTGGACAGAAGCCTTCATGGGGACCAGATTTGGGCAGTGTAGAACTGCTTCGGCCAGGTGGACCTGTCCTCAAACAGAACCTGCATATAGTGCTGGCACAAAGTCAACTAGACATATCTAAACCAAGGGAAAGTTTGAAGGTCAGACTCATGATTATATTTTTCTTTAAATATCACATCATATTTATTTAATTTCCAACTTAAAATACAGCATTGCTTTGCATAAAGTGTACATGTAATATGTGTGTGTTTGTTTGTTTAAAGGTTTACAGCATTGCAACCAGAGGAGAGGGCATGGTATGCTCATAGCCACTTTTGAAAATGCCCAAGAAGGAATCAAAGAAGGACACAAAGAAGGATAAGAAAGAGGAGGAAAAGAAAGCGAAGGAAGACAAGAAGGGAGGAAAGATGAAAAGAAACCCAGCAAGGATGATAAGAAAGGCGGAAAGGATGATAAGAAAGGGGGTAAGAAGGGAAAGGAAGAGCCACCCAAGGGGAAAGATGATGGAAAGAAAGGAAAAGGGAAAGGTAAGAAAGTGGACTCCGAGGAGGAAGAGGAGGAGCTCCTGAGTGAGGAGGATGAAGAGTTCAGTGAAGATGAGGAAGAGGAAGACTCAGAAGATGACAGGAGAGGAAAGGGGCGAGGAGGCAAGGGGGCTAAGGGAAAGAAAGGGGGGAAGTCCAGACATGGGGACTCAGAAGAGGATTATGAGGAGGATGAAGAAGAAGAGGATGAATACGACGAAGAGGACCATGGCAAATCGAAAAAGAAATCTAAAGACCACCATAAAGGAGGGAAATCTGATGCCGATGCCAAAAAGAAGAAAGGCAAAAAGAAAGAGGAAACCCCGCCGATTCCGATTAAGGAACTCCCAAAGAAAGGTCTAAAAAACATGTCAAGGATGTTCATGAAGTTTTCCGGCATGAAGAGACGCAGGAACAGCAGGAAGAAGCTGAAAAGCACATCACGTTTGTTCCTTGGGTTGGGTAAGAGAAAGAACCGCCTGGCTAAGAAGAAACGCCGCAAGTCCATGCTGAAGAACACCTCTCGATTCATGATGAGGTTTAATGTCAGCAAAAAGAGGAAAAAGGAGAAGGAGAAAAAAATGATGGAAAACGATGGGAACAAGCCCACCTATATGCTGCTGCGTCTGGGAGGAGGGAAAGAAAATGATAAGAAGGGCTTCTTCAAAAACTTATTTAGAAAGAATAAAGGTGACGGGCCGTCTGACGACTTTAAGAACGGCAGCGCGTTGCTTGGTAAGGTTGCAGCAGCAACTAACTGGTTGACCAAACGCTTCCTGTCCACTAAAATACGAGACGATGCCGGACAACATGGCCGGGGGGGACGTAGATCACATACCCGACAAGCTAGCTCCAGAGGTCGTCTTCATGGTAACCACAATGGTGGTTATGAGTACGAGGAGGATGCTTATGGTTACGACCAGCACCATTCAGTCCGCCAGAAGTATGGAGGCTATGATGAAGGTCATGCTGGTTATGGAGATGAGGCAGCATATGGAGACCAGGGTCAGTTTGGTTACTATGACAATGGAGCAGGAGTAGCAAACCACCAAGACCTGGGTTACTACGAGGAAGAAGGATTCTATGATGCAAACGCAGAGTTTTTTGAAGATGATATTTACGATGATGGCACTGGGGAATACCATAACCATTATCCCTCGGCCCAGGGCTATTATAACAACCAGCAACAACAGGCAATGGCAATGTATGGTGACGAGGGTCTAGACTACTATGCTCTGATGGGGGAAGACAATGTTTATGTTGGAGAGGTAGATGGATACATCGACCCTGAGGCTCAGGGGTATTATGATGAAAATGGTCAAGTAGTTTACTATGGTGAGGGACAACAGGGTTACTATGACAATGGACAAACAGGTTATTTTATGGACCCTTATGCAGGAACTATGGGAATGCAAGGAGGATTACCACCAGACTATCAACTTAGTTATAGTGATGTTGGCGTGCCCTACCAAGACTACAGCTCCCAGCAGGCCTTTGGAGTCCCACAAGGAGGCCAGCAGGTCTTTGGGTATGAAGGGCAAGGAATAGATCAGGTACAAGGCATGTATGGGGACCAGTATGCAGACCAGTTTGATCAGTTTGGGGATGACACTGGTGGAGTTCAGGGAGGGGAGCTGACATTTAGAGTTCCCAGACCTCAAGTGCGCCTTTTTGGGAAAGAGCGTCTAGATGTGCCTCTGCACCCTCCACCTACTTTGCCTCCTGATCCAGAATTTGAAGACATGTCAGATATCCAGTACGAAGACCAGATCCCTCTTGCACAAGGTCAATACGGTGAAATGTCAATACAGCAACAAATGGGAATGTCACCACAGCAACAAATGATGATGTTTCCTCATGAACAAATGATGATGCCCCAGCAGATGTCACCACAGCAACAGATGATGTCACCACAGCAACATATGATGTTACAAGAAGAACAGATGATGCCCCAGCAAATGATGTCCCAACAACAGCAAATGATGTTACAACAAGAACAGATGATGCCCCAGCAAATGATGTCACCACAGCAGCAAATGATGTTACAACAGCAACAGATGATGTTACAAGAAGAACAGATGGTGCCGCCGCAAATGATGTCACCACAGCAGCAGATGATGTTACAACAAGAACAGATGATACCCCAGCAAAGTATGTCACCACAGCAGCAGATGATGTTACAACATGAACAGATGATGCCCCAGCAAATGATGTCACCACAGCAGCAAATGATGTTACAACATGAACAGATGATGCCCCAGCAAATGATTTCACCACAGGTAATTCTAGCTCAGTTGTGTCAAGAAGGAACACCTCTCAAAACAACCTAAAAGATACAAAAAACTAAAAAACCTTTGCCACACAAATGTATACCATAGTAAACATTTGCCAATATATACATTTATAGAACGTATTTTCCATAATGTGGACAGGTGTAATGACATTTTAATACCATAGATTTCACTAGAATCTTACAACTATATTCAACACTGCAACACATTTTAAACCAAATGTATTTCTTCCCATCTTCTTTCATTCTCAAATGATTGTACTCTTTTTTTTTTGTCAGCAGATGATGACTGACCCGATGATGATGTCACAACAGGGTTATGGTTCAGTGATCCCTACTCCAACTGCCATGATTATTAAACAAGCAGGTTTGTCCCCCCATTCTGTACGGCGCCTGCAACCACCCTCTCCGACTCCCTCCCGCCGCTCTGTCATCATGACATCCCCCCAGATGCAGCGTCATCCCTCTGCCATGGCTTCCCCAGTACCTTCTCCTATGCTTCCACAGAGACGCAGCCTCTCCCCACAACCATCCATGAGGAGTGGGTTCATAAATACCCAAAGAACCCCCTCTGTAATGTCGAGACAAATCTCACATCCTTCCTCCCCTATGGCCTCCCCCCTTGCCCGTCCTAGAATGCAACCTCAGAGATCACCATCTCCTCTGGCTCGAGGACCCTCACCCCCTCACTCACCCCGTATCTCCATGATCCGCAGAAGTACTCCAACCTCCCCAAGAGCATCAATGAGACAACGTTCTCCACCTTCCTCACCCCGTGCTTCAATGAGGAGGCGAAGTCCACCAGCCTCACCCACTGCAGCCCGCAGCCCGCTTGGAGGGAGAATGTTGCGAGGTCCACCCTCCCCTCTCCCTCCTTCTGGTCATGCATCTCCCCCTCACTCTCCACAACTCAGTAGAAGACCATCTCCTTCTCCCTCCCTATCTCGTCGCAGTTTGTCTCCTGCAGGGCCTCGGCCGGCCCAATCATCTCCTACCCTCTCCCGTCGCTCAACACGGGTGCTCAGGGACCCCACACCAATGAGCCGGCCTAGGATGGGGGGAAATGTTCCCTTAGGCACCGTCAGGCCCTCGCCCATGGGTCTCCGAGGGCGCCCTGTACCCCCACCCACCCAGAATGTGCGTCCATTCCGCCCCTCGTCGATACGAAGCAATAGATCATCTGTTCTTACAGTGGACTCCCACCTCTCTTCCCCTTTTCACTCTCCTCACATGGTCCACCGTGCTCCCTTGGGGAGGCGAGAATCTGGTCGATTTCCTGCTCGCCCTGTGGCTCGAGGACGTCCTCTCATGGCCCAGCAGTCTATAAGAAGGATGCATCCAGCCTCTCCACAGCCCTCCCTTAAACACATGCCACAACGTACATCCCAGCGCTTGTCTCCTAGACTTTCTCGTCAGTCCTCACAATCCCCCCATCATCCCTCTTACGCACAAGAAACGTATGTTAGAGACCCCTATGCTGATCCTTACACTGAGCAGTCACATCATTATGCAGTCCCCACTTCTCCTATGTTATCGGGTGCTTTGCAGAATCAGTCTATTCGACAGGCATCTTTTGCTTCTCCCTTTGGCCCAGGGCCAGCCCAAATGGTAGACATGGGTGAGATGGTTACTGAATATGCAGAACCTTATGCTCCTTCATCCCCTTCGCTTTCAGGTGCAATGCGAAACCAGGTAATTCGGGATGCATCCTATGTTCCCTCACTGCAGAGACCAATGTCACCTTATGAGCAGCCAATGGCCCCTCAATCTCCGATGCTGTCTCGGGCTCTGAGGAATCAAGCTTTACAGAATGCATCTTATGCTTCTCCTTTACAAATGCCAATGTCTACTTATGAACAGCCTTTGCCCCCTTCTTCCCCAATGCTGTCTGGAGCTTTGCAAAACCAGGCAGTGAGAGAAGCCTCTTATAGGTCTCCTCTTCAAAGGCCTCAGTCCCCATATGCCCAATCTGTGCCTTCATCTCCAATGCTCTCTGGAGCTATGAGACATGGCCAGGCCCTAAGAGGTGTGGCTTCTTATCAGACTCCACAGCTCCATTCACCATATGGACCAACTGTCGTGACTCCATATGATTATATTTCAGAGCCTGGCCCATCACCACTTCTTCATGATGCCCTACAGAACCGGTCTAAAATGCAGAATGTCTCATCTTTAAGATCCCCTCTGATGCAACACCGTAACCCTTATGCACCGGCTGGGCCTCAGCTCCATAATGCTCTTCAACAGAACCCAAACATCCGCCAAGCATCTTATAGGACACCTGTGCAACTCAGCCGGTCCCCATATGGACCCCCACCACCTTCTTCACCAATGCTAGGAAGTGCCCTGCAAAACTCACAATTGATGCAGGCCTCGTACCGTTTACCAGACGGATCTTTGGTGTCACCATATGCATCTTCCCCTTCCTCCCCAATGCTTGGTAATGCCTTGCAAAACCAACAACTCCGTGAAGCATCGTACACCTTGCCTGATGGATCAGTTATCAGCCGGTCCCCATATGGACCCCCACCACCTTCTTCACCAATGTTAGGAAGTGCCCTGCGAAACTCACAATTGATGCAGGCCTCGTACCGTTTACCAGACGGATCTTTGGTGTCACCATATCCATCTTCCCCTTCCTCTCCAATGCTTGGTAATGCCTTGCAAAACCAACAACTCCGTGGAGCATCGTACACCTTGCCTGATGGATCAATTATCAGGGTAGGTACTAAGGAACATGTCTAAATACCTGTATAACCCGATATGTATGTCTGTCTACATGCAGTTCAACGTTTTTTTATAACAACGCTTGCACTCTCCTATATTTCACCCCATCCCGCACCCACACAGGACCCCCGCATGCACCAGAGGCCCAAGTCACCTAACCTTTCAAAAGCTCTTCAGAACCGAGATGTGATGTCTGCTTCATATACTCTCCCTGATGGCACCCTTCTAGACCCGAGACACCAAGTAACCCATGACACATTAACCTCTTACTGTGGTATTCATTTCTTCTGTCTCCCTACTGTTGTTTACCATGTATTAGTTCAAGCTGATGGATGTTCTTCTTGCTCGGTTGTCTCTGCTTTTTCAGCAACCTATTTCCCCAAACCTGGCAAAGGCCCTTAGCAACCCAGCTCTGCGTGAAGCCTCCTATTCTCTCCCTGATGGTACTATTGTGATTGACCCCAGGAAACAGAAGTCACCGAACCTTGCAGCTGCACTTCGAAACCCTTATCTGAAAAGTGCATCTTACACCCTGCCCGATGGTACTATCATCATTGATCCACGGAAACCTCTCTCTCCAAACCTCTCAAGTGCCCTTCAAAACTCTGCCCTGCGGGACGCCTCCTTCACTCTACCAGAAGGAGTTCAGGACCCGAATATACCCGTTTCACCAAATTTGGCTAAGGTTAGCTATCAAGCCTTTATTGTTAATTTTCTATTTGTTTTTCCCTATATCTTTTGTATATATAACTTATTACTTTTCACATCACAAGTATATGGTATTTAAAAGGTTACCCAAAAGGTATGTAGATTTTGTTTTGCTAATAGATACTGGTGATGAAATACGTATATTCCAAAAGTTGCTGCTTTAATTCTACTGCTGGTCAATTGAATTGCACTTGTTAACCTCCCAGACCTACTTTTACTAAAACCAGCTGTTTTAATTCTTAGGCCCTCAATAACGCAGCCTTGAAAGGAGCTTCGTACACCCTCCCAGATGGAACGATTATAGTGGACCCTAGAAAACCAAAGAGTCCCGACCTGAGAGCTGCTCTGCAGAATCCCTATCTTAAGGGTCTGTCGTACACACTGCCTGATGGAACCATCATCATTGACCCACGGAAGCCAGTTGGCCCTGACCTGTCTAAAGTGTGTACCTAACTTTGTATTAGCACCTGTTTGTTTTATTGGCTCTTGTTTTCACTGACCCTTTCCCTGTGTTAACCCTAAACCTAAACATTTAGCAAATTAAAATATAACCTTGAATAACAACTTGGTGACTTCCCTGCAGGCTCTTATGAATCAGAACCTTCGAAGCGCATCATACCGACTCCCTGATGGTACCCTGGTTATCCCCGGCCAGAAGCCCAACCTTTCATCCGCTCTGAGGCAAAACCGGGCACTTCAGTCTACAGGTCTCTATCATCTAACAGAGGACTCTGTACTGTCAGGAGCACCAAAACCCACCCCTCCCAACCTTGCCTCTGCGCTCCGTAATGATGAACTCCGTGGTGGCAATTTCAGGTAGGGAACTACACTATAAATTGTAAATTGTGATTGCAAGAGAACCACAGGATCAGTCGAAAACTGTTTTAAACAGTAGTTAACCCTCCTCATATTAATATTAAAGGTGGGGTAGGTAATTTTGGAGAAACCAGCTCGAGTGCGCTAAAATTTGAAAATACACAACCGGAGAAAATCTGCCACTTCCTTACAGAGCCCCTCCTCCAACACACACGAACGCGCACATGACCAATGAGGGCACGAGATAAGTTTGTGCACAGATGGAAGGCTGACAGGCAGGTAGGCCATCCAGTTATTTTAGCCGGGCCGGCTAAAATGATTGGTCGTGCTTTTTACAGTACTACAGCTTCCACAGATGACATTTTTTTATGGATTTTTTGTCAAAGCACTTAAGATATTCATTGATATCGGGATGTTAAGAGCATTCCATGTAATATAACAAAAAGTGTATCTCGAGCCGGTTTCTCAAACTTACCTACCCCACCTTTAATACTACGTTTTCAACAGTCCTTGTTTTATGAATGAAGCTTTACGGAAGTGGTAAACAAGTTCCTGAAGAGTTTCTCTTTAAACAATCAGTGACATTCAGCCAATCAAAGCCAACCCAGAAAGTGTCAAAGTTAACACAAACTAATACCCCAGAGCAGGGACATTTTCTTACACCTTGGACTATTGCACAGGAAGTTAATTTAATTCTTGATTCATCCATTTGAATTGTATATTTCTATAAAGGTTCCTGGGAAAGTACCTGCGGCAGAAATGCCCTACAGTATATGTAGAAAGGCCATGTGAATTTCCAATTATATCACAATAACAACAAATCTACACAAAATATTTAATTGTCACATTTTAAATGTCAATGTTGTACAACCCTGTGTAACATGTTCTTAATTTAAATCAACCCCTAATTGTTTCCACAGATTGTCGGATCGCTCTGTTCTCACACGTCAGTTTCACAACCCCCGCCTGTCTGAAGCTATCCAAAACCAGCAGCTTCGCTATGCCTCATACAGGGTGCCAACAGGCCTGCAGGGTGAGGATAATCGCTATGCCGTGGTTCCTCCCTACGGGCCACGCTCAGGACACTGGGCCAGGGATGCACGAGGAGGAGGGGAAGGCGGGGAAGATGTTTGGGCAGCTGAGAGGGTGTTACCACATGGTACGGTCCAGAATCTGTCAAAGTGGTCCATGTACAGAGAAGACGGTGTGTTAGAAGCATTTTCACCAACACCTCGATTTGTGGACGGACAGCCTCATGAACAAGACTGGACTCCTGACAGAAATAGAGTACCTGGTCAAAGCTGGTATGACAAGGTAGCTACATTTATGTATTCGTGGGTTAAATCATATTTTGTGATTCTTTTTCAAATGATAGTTTATTGACAATAATTGGAAAGGACTTTCTCTCTATCTAGACATTGTTCAAGGAATTGCAACTGTGAAAAGTACAACATAGAAGCTGGAAAGTCCACAAAATCATTAAAAAAGACAAAAAATAGAAACATATTTGAATTTCTGCATATTTTATGTCAGCTCTGTATCAACTGATAACGATATCGCTTTGACAATATGGCATGCCAGTGTTGGTGGACTAATTTAAAAACCTTAACCTTGTGTGTGTGTGTGTGTGTGTGTGTGTGTGTGTGTGTGTGTGTGTGTGTGTGTGTGTGTGTGTGTGTGTGTGTGTGTGTGTGTGTGTGTGTGTGTGTGTGTGTGTGTGTGTGTGTGTGTGTGTGTGTGTGTGTGTGTGTGTGTGTGTGTGTCCAGATCTACTCTATCCTAAGCATGCCCACAACAGGCCACAGGGTGAAACGCTGGGCAGAGGGGATGGAAGACATGACACAGCTGCCGTAAGCAGGATTCAGTATTAACAAACAGCATTATGTCGCCCCAATGTAGAGCAGCACAGCTCATTTCAATGCATATCCTTTTAGTTTCTTCAAGCAACTATTCCTGTATGTGTGTGTGTGTGTGTGGGGGGGGGGGGGGGGGGGGTGTTCATGCCAGTGTGCTTGCCAATGTGCTTGTGGAGATCAGAAATAAAATCCCTAGCATTAGGTATGTTAAGTATTATATTAAAATGCAACTCCCAAATAGATCTCTTGACATCCTGAGGATTCTGCATAAGTTAGCAGTTTGAAAGAAATTATTCCTCAATTATTTCCCGACATGCTGCCAACTCTCTCCCCAATGGCTGATTTTGATATCTTGAATATCATTGAAAAGTAATTAATATTGGATGTCAAAGTGGGTGTGGGAATCCTGCCGCACTGTGCAATATGTGCTCTGTACATGTGTGTTTAATATCATCTGTGTTTAATTTCAGTGAGTTGAATGAGACCACAGTTTTAATGAACCTCAAGAAGCGCTACGACCAGGAGCTTGTATATGTATGTTTCATTTCTAGTATGCAAATAAGATAACTAATATCATCAAATGTCAAAGATATCCACTCATCCGCTCTCCTTCTTCTCCTTTCTTTCCCCCTTGTTTATCCATACAGACCTACATAGGCAGCATCCTTGTGTCAGTGAATCCCTACAAGTTGCTCAACATTTACGGCACAGACATGGTGCTTCAGTATGAGGGCCGCGGCCTGAGTGACAATCCTCCGTAAGACATGGGAGTGTGTGTGTTGGACCTTGACAATTAGTTCCAGGACTTGTAACTCCAGGAAGGGTTTTAAGTTAGGCCTCTCTTTCTATCTGTTGGAGACATTTCTTTAAAATCTGGTGGAAAGTTAGGCCACTTCTTAAACTAAAAACGCAAATCAAACATTTCTGAAATATCTTTCAACTTAAAATAAACAATTTAGATGACTGTGCAGGCTTGGTGGAGGTGTACATTCTCTTAACACTTTCTAGTTTTAATCAGAACACACCAACAAACTCTCTAAATTATAAAAACGTGTGCATGCATGTCCCTGTGTGAGTTTGTGCTCTTTATGCTACATCTGCCTAGATGCACTTTGCTCTGAGATATAGTGGGGTGGGAAATAGAGGTGCAATTGCCAGCTCTCCTAGGTGTTGGTAAATGGCTCATATTACACTGCTGTTGGTTGGTTGCCAAGGGAGAGTCCGGTTATGGATTTCACTACTATCATACACACACACACACACACACACACACACACACACACACACACACACACACACACAAAACCAATTAGCATACAAATTAAAAAAGTATGTTTTGTTGTGTTGCAGTCATCTTTTTGCCATTGCTAATCTCGCATATACCACCATGATGGATGCCAAAAAGGACCAGTGTATTATGATCAGGTATGAACACTTTATTATCATTTGCAACACTTGAATACAATTCAAAAACTTGAAGATGTGTGACATTTGAGTGGTTATTTTTTTAAACGAGACACATTTTCTTGGAATTTTCTATTAAATTCTTTGTCTACGATGCGAAACATCTTCTTTAAGTAATGAAGAAAAAGAAGTGCTGTAAAAGATGGGTTAACAGTTTTTGTTATTACAGCGGAGAAAGCGGGTCAGGAAAGACGGAAGCTACTAAACTAATCCTGCGGTACTTGACAGCCATACATCACAAAGGCAACATTACACAACAGGTAGATACAGTATATAAAGTACATTAAGTACTATTATACAAGCATGCTGACATACAATGTGCATACTGTTTCACTTTAAGCTAACACTCTTATTTGCTCCTTTATTCTCATGTCTTCTTGACCGTCTCCCATCAGATAGAGGTAAAGTGTTTTTGTTGTTTGGTTTTGCTCTCATGATATCATCGTTGTTGAAAGTAGCCAGTGTAACATTTCTGCCTGTCGTGGTTGGTCAGATCCTGGAGGCCACGCCCCTGTTGGAGTCTTTCGGTAATGCCAAAACAGTGCGCAATGACAACTCTTCACGCTTTGGCAAATATACGCAGATCTACATGGAGGAGTGAGTACTACCAATGTGTTTACACCCCCAAAAGAACATGAATAGTGAATGTGACTATGTACTGTACATTGTCCTACAACAAGGCAAAGCTCTCTTTTGCTCTCTGCTTGAAATAATAGGACATTTTTGGATAAGGAATATGTGTGTGTGCATAACAAGGGCCGGGTGTGTTTTTCTCAGATGTTGCTGGAGGGTGCCCTGATAGATGTTTTTTCAGTTGTTTTTGTGGTATTCTGCAGATTTCTTTGGAGCATGCAAGACTCATTTTTGTGTGAATGTACAAAAGCCTTTTATATTATCATATCAAGAAGAAGAAGAAGAAGAAGAAGCATAAGAAACAGTTTTGAGTTTTCAGAGTCTGGAAAGTAAAACATCCTGATGATCTGGAAACAACTTCTCTCATTAGATCATAAGAATCAGATCCTTTATTGCAATAGATTTATTTATGTAACTTTAACCAAGACTAACTGTGTGTGCGTGCGTGCGTGCGTGCGTGTGTGTGTGTGTGAACCTGCCTTTTTGTATGTCATTTACAAGGGGTGTAATCAGCGGTGCCATAACGTCTCAGTACCTGTTGGAGAAGTCCCGCATTGTCTTTCAGGTGAAAACACACACATGGACTCAAACATACACACACTTAGCAGGTCAGGCAGAGTCTTCTTACCAGTGAGTCATTGTGGGAAAGAGGAGATTGTAGAGGAAGACAGCATGAGAAGTGTCAAGCATGTTGAACTCTATTGTTACTGTACACAGGCCACTCTGTTCATCAGTCATCTGTCCATTTGTCTTTTCCAAACCATTATTTCTTCTTCAGTAAAAGCTACCACCACATATCTTAACTGTTTGTGAATATGTGTGCACATTGTTGATTTTTAAATGTGGTATTGCCGTGTGTGTGTTGGTTCATCCACAGGCCAAATCGGAGAGGAACTATCACATCTTCTATGAGATGTTGGCAGGTCTTCCTCCTCATGAGAAGAGCTCACTGTATCTGCAGGAAGCTGAGACTTACTACTATCTAAATCAGGTGCTTGGAGAAATACAAAATACACTCCACTCCACACACACACAAACACAGCACAAGGAGTGGTCACTATAATCAATTTGACAGTCACATTAACAAATGAGCTGTCAAATTTCAGAACATTTCACATTTATTATACTAATTGATCAATGGCACAAACATAAAACACATTGCGGTACCCAAATACAGAATGAGGGATGTTTTCAGTGTGGATTTTTTTGTATCAGAGATATATTGAGAGATAACTGTTGTTTGATAATTTCTGTCCAAATTGGATGAATTACTTAAAACCCTGTGTAATCACTAGCAAGGCTTGAATGTTGTATTTTTGTATTGCTGTTCAGCAGTGGCTATGACCCCTCAAACAAAGCAATGTCTTGTCTACAGGCAGTAGTTAAAGCAGAGAGCAATTTTACCATGTTAGATTGTTTAATTTGAGTAACTGTCCAAAGCCTAAGAAGCTTAAACTAAACAGAATTTGAACTGTAAGGAAATAAGGAAAAATTCTGAGAAAAAAATAGGTGTAGTTTATGTTGTGCATGGCTCTAAGGAAAGCAATGTTTATTGGTCAGTTGGTCGGTTCATACAGATCTTAAAACCTATTAAATGGATAACCATCACGTTTTGTACCGACATTCATATTCAACAAAGAGAAAACATATTAATCTAGGTGTTCCCTTGACTCTCTCTTAAGCACACAGTGAGGCAAGCAATTTCCTTTGTATTGAAGGGTCTCTACAACTATTGGATGGATTGCAATGATATTGAGGAGACAGTTATGTTCCCGCAGGGTGAATTGTAACAACTTGGGCTAACGCCTGATTTTTCTTCCAGCAGAAAATTAGATTTTTTTTTTTGTCGAACACATTGGCATTTTACAAAATACAGTACCCCAAATGTAGTTATTGTGACATCCCCATAAGTCTCAGCTTTACTTTACGTTTAGTGTTAGTAAGTACGTTGGAGTGATGACCTTTAGATAGCTCTACACAGTGCTTATCATTTGTTTCTCCTTTAAAGACACTGACTATTTCTGTGTTTATCCCTGTCATGGCACACTTGGTTGTCACCACAGACTGTATATATAAAGGTTGCCACCATTGAGCTGGTTTGCTCTTTTGCGTTTCTCAGTACCACTTCATGATGTGATGAAACACAAAGCAACACATTGCTCACGCCAAAGCTGATTAAAGATCCTTGACTAATTGCATCTTAATTGTTGCTGGTTACTACTACAAGGCTTATTTTTTAAATAACACCAGGGAGAAATGTAATGTGTCATTGCCTTCTGCGGTTGAATACTGACACACCCTGAAGTAACCCTTTACAACACTTCTAGGGCTGTGTAAAGTATCACCACTTTCCAAACACTTCCTGCATTTTATCCCTTTTGTAGCCAGAACTAGAAAATAATGGCTTTCAGTATGGTCTTGCTCGCAGCCCATTAAAGCAGCAGATACTAAATAAACTATATTACTTTTGAGTTACTTTACCAAAATAACCGCAAAAGAATGGCTAGGTATTTTAAATGCTAAAATGTAGTTTAGTGCCGCTCATTATACATCCAGTGAAGGGCAATGTGGTATAGCATAACAACTGTGTAGGCCATTAAGGCTACTAACAACTTTTATTACACGGCTTAGTTGAATACTCGATTCTGATGTGACACGTTGTTAAAGGAGAGGTGTCATGGCCATTTCCACTGATCATAATTCCATTGTTGAGGTCTACTAAAATAGATTTATACTGTGCATTTTTCCAAACTCACATTGGTTTCTCATACAGCATCTCTGTAAACTACTTGTATTCACTGAATTTCACTATTTGCCTTTAACGGCTCGTTGTAGCTCCAAAAGCTCCAGCCCCCACCCTCCCTGTGAGCACAGTGTGCTCTGATTGGTCGGGACGTTGTGAATCGCGCTGAGCTCCGTGGAGGTGTTGTTTCCTTGTTTAGGATACATAGCGAAACACAGCCAAACTCATCCTGAGCACACACAAACTCACATCCGAAGTAAAAACAATAAGTGTGGCTTGATATTGAGTAAGAAAAAGGTTGATAAACGCTGTGAGAATGGGTCTGCAGAGAGAATTTCGCCGCGATCCCAACTGTCTGTTATCAGCCTGCAGCCAGGGAGGAGAAATCAGCTGAGCTGCCTGCTCCCTGCACACAGATGTGTGTGTGAGGAAGTCCGTGGATTGGTCAATTTGGACCAATCAGCGGGGGCTTAACGTAACGGCTCCGCGGACGTAACGTAACGGCTCCACGGATTGGTCCATTTCGTTCCGGGTACGGCATGACATCATGCCGTACCCGGAACGAAATGGAAGAATCAAATGGACAATGACGTACACACCGTTTAAATGCATAAAAACCATCATAACACACAAGGGGACGGGTAATAACCGGAAAAGCATGACACCTCTCCTTTAATACAGTAGTACAGACCACTGTCAAGGACTATAATGAAGGTTGCTAAGGAGGATCAAGAAAGAGAAAGGAAAATAGGTTAAAAGACGGAGCGCTGGACATCAGATAAATCACCAGAAGAAGGCAGAGAGGAAGTAAACAATAACAGGAACATGGAATGGGCTCTGTAGTTTGTTTAGTAGGCCTATATGGCCGTGTATTGTAATAAGCGGGATAATGTGCAGCGAGGCGGTCATTATGGGGAAAAGAACACCCGACAGGCTGATCAGGGAACCCGATGCGAAACGGAGGGATCTTGATGAGCCTGAAGGGTAAACACCAGGCTTACTAATCTACCCGCATCATTTTTCTCTGGTGTCGGAATGTCTCGCGATGTTGGTAAATTCTTAAAAAACAAAACAGCATTTCATTCCGGGTTAAAATGTGTTGTAACTGCGTTACTGAGAATTGTAACGGGTAGTATATTACCCAAATTTCATTAGTAATGCGTTACATTACTTCGTTACAGCAAAAGTAATACGTTACTGTAACACCCAACACTGCGAATAAGCAATAATAAGTAAGGAGATAAGAAGTATCAAATGACATACTCTATTGGTATGGTTGTTACTTTAAGAGAACTGGTATATGGTAATTATAATGATAATTTTAAAAAGGATTCACGGCCGACTGCAGCAAGGTAAGAAGTTTGACCCCTCAGGTCAGAAAAAACTTTCATCAGCTGATTAGTTGGTCCTTAATTAGGAGCTTTGATTAAACAGGCTGAGGGTAAATATGTTGTTGTTGATAACTGTGTGTGTGTGTGTGTGTGTGTGTGTGTGTGTGTGTGTGTGTGTGTGTGTGTGTGTGTGTGTGTGTGTGTGTGTGTGTGTGTGTGTGTGTGTGTGTGTGTGTGTGTGTGTGTGTGTGTGTGTGTGTGTGTGTGTGTGTGTGTGTGTGTGTGTGTGTGTGTGTGTGTGTGTGTGTGTGTGTGTGTGCATGAGTTCAGGGAGGGGATTGTACCATAGAGGGGAAAGATGATGGGGAGGACTTCAGACGTCTGCTGAGTGCCATGGACATCCTGTGTTTCACCCCAGAGGAGCTGAACGGCATCTACAGACTGCTGTCCTCTGTCCTTCATCTGGGGAACGTCTACTTCCAGCCACACCAGGTCACAAACACACACATACACACACACACACACACACACACACACACACACACACACACACACACACACACACACACACACACACACACACACACACACACACACACACACACACACACACAAACCGGCCCCATCAATGCATTTAGTTTCACGGTTGAATGATAATGATGATGTTGATAGATGATGGTGATAATGACTGGCGCTTGTGGGTGTGTGTCCCTGCAGGCTGAGGGTCAGGAGGTGGCGTCGATGGTGAGTGCGCAGGAGATCAGGGTGGTGGCTGAGCTGCTGCAGGTCTCACCTGAAGGCCTGCAGAAGTGTGTCACCTTCAAACTGACAGTGAGCAGAACACACGATCACACCGTCTCTGGCATACCACAGAGAAAGCTGCTTTTAAAGAGATGAACAATTAAAGTGATGTTAACAGATGGTTTTGCTCCCACAGGATACAGTACGGGAGAAGATCTTCACTCCTCTCACAGTGGAGAGTGCTGTGGATGCCAGGTGAGTGGGTCTGAATATAGTATCTGTTGAATTCAATACTATGCGACTTCTTCTTCATGGGATTACCTGGAATAAAAGCCTATCAGGTAGTTTTGTTTCAGGCTTTATAGTTTCCTCGTTTAAAATCATCTTTGGTAGAGGCATGTGAGGACAAAGGATGTCATGGCTGGGGGAGAGATTTTTCAGATGTCCTCTGTTTCCATAGGAACCGGGTATCCTGTTTCCATAGAAACCTTATTGTGTGTTTTTCATAGAGATGCTGTTGCCAAGATCCTGTACTCGCTGCTGTTTAGTTGGCTGACAGAGCGCATCAACGGACGGGTCTACCCTCGCAACGAAGCGCTCTCCATCTCCATATTGGACATATATGGATTTGAGGTCAAGCTTAAGAGAGATCTGGCTGATTGATGTTACAGCGCTGATGCGTCTGAGCTGCCCTGTGTTAACTTCACTCCCCATTGTCTCCTCTCTTGACTCTCCAGGAGCTACAGGTGAACAGTTTTGAGCAGCTGTGCATCAACTACGCCAATGAAACCTTGCAGTTCTTCTTTAACAAGATCATCTTCCAGGAGGAGCAGGTCAGGGAAACTACAAGTTCATATTTGTATGTAGAGTGCTCAAGGAATGAGCCGTAAAACACAGAAATACATCAAAAACATTTCTCTGTGACTTCCTCCCATCAAAGTCAATTGGATTTCTGAATGGGTAAAGTGGGTTGAAATGGTACAAAGCATGTGGGTTTCAGTGTTCAAGTAAAAGTATAAATACTATGGTCTTAAAGTACTCCATTACAAGAATAAGTCCTGATTTCAAAATGTAAAGGAAAAAATTAGCATCAAAATATGTTTAAAGTACAAAAAGTATTAATTCTGCACAATGACCCATTTCAGAATAATATACAGAAGTATAATCAGCTAAATGTACTTCAAAGTAAAAGTACTTGTTTTTCATATTATCCAGTTTTGTATACATGTAAGAGCATTTAAGTATTGTCGTTGGTCAAGTGGACCAAATTAAGATACTTGAAATACTGTGTACATTATCAGCACAGTACTGCCTTATAACATGTCAGCATAGCATGTGTTTTTAGATGTACAAAGTAAGTGTCAGATATTTCCACAGAGGTCATCTCAATTTTAGATCTAATGGAAAAAACCCATTGGCTTTTTGTCAGGGGAACCAGGGCCATGCTTACTTCTGGGTTTGCTCTATTCACAACATTCTGTTTTCCCAGTGGGGATGGATTTGATTTGCGCATCAAGAGACATCTAGGTTAAAGCCAGCCTGAAACTTAGTTGAATGTCAAAGTATAAAAAAAGGATATAAGACAGCTTGGTTTAATCACAAGACATTCAATGTGGTCACATCAGGTGAAATGATTAGGTTACCCAAAGAAATCCATCATTTAAATCAAGATAAATGGTTGATGTAGAGTATAACAATTATGATATATTTTAGCCTTGATTGCAACATTACTCATTTTAGAAAAGCTCTTTTAAACCCACAAGGTCATTTAATTTCACAAACTATAGTGGACACAGCAATACTTGAGCTGAAGTGAAAACTGAAATCAACCAAGAAGAGATTTATAAACGCCGACCTGATTAACTTTTGTGCTGTGTGTGTAGGAGGAGTACATGCGGGAGCAGATCCCGTGGCAGCAGCAGCCCTTCAGCCACAACCAGGCCTGTCTCGACCTCATCGCTGCAAAGCCTCATGGGATACTGCGCATACTGGACGACCAGTGTGGGTTCCCTCAGGTACATCTACGCTTGTTGAATCAAACTCTCAATCTACAAAGTAATTGTAAATCACTGAAATGTATAATAAACAGAGCTGATATCGGCTATACCAATACAAACAGTCCCTAGTTTAAACAAAGGGCATTCATTATTCATTGCTCCTTTAAAACTTGTTCTCCAAGCGTGCAAGGATCATATCCACTAGGACTAATGTTGTTAAATATAGACTAGATACAAAATCTTACATTATTTACGTGTATTGTAAAGAAAAAAGTAACAGCTGACATAATATGATTAAAATATTTCATAGCACAATTTTGAAATAAATTGAGTTAAACATCTCACATATTGGATTTCTCATAAACCAGGGCACTAAAGTGTACTGCAGTCTTCTCGGATCAATACAAAACGATCCCACACGCTCACTTAATTGCCTACCTGCCGTTATCATTATTCCCGGGGCTCCTAATGTAAGACGCTCATCTTGAGATAAACGTATTATAAAGTGTCTCGGAGTGAAATATGAACACGGTGTTACTGACCGAGGCAATCTGCTGCACACACACACGGGCAACATGTGTTTGTGCTGTAGAAATAGATTTAGTTTCCATGGCTCACCAGCCATTAACCGTCTCCAATCATCGCTAGGCAACAGACCACACCTTCCTTCAGAAGTGCCACTATCACCATGGAAACGACCCGCTATATGCCAGGCCAAAGATGCCACTGCCAGAGTTCACCTTGAAACACTACGCTGGGAAAGTCTCTTACCAGGTACATTTCATTTGACTTTATTTTGTTCTTTAAAGGTTTTTCTTCTTCTCCTCCTTGTCATTTTCCTTTTCCTCTGTTTTTTTTTTGTAACAATTGAAGTGCCCTCTAGCATTAGCAACTGGGATAAACCTAGACAACCACATTGCTTTCAAATTTGGCTAGTTGCCAGATTTCTGCTTTCTCAGAGCCTACTATTCTAAGGAAAGGTGCTCTTGTGGTATCTTCACATATTATTTGTTTACAAATTAAAATGTCTCCTCAGCCTCTTTTGCACACGGTGCTCAGGGATTTTACACTTGTGTTTAAGCACTGTTGAATTCCTGGTTTGATTTTGATCCTAGTTTTCTAATGACTTGTGGTGCAGGTGCACAAATTCTTGGATAAGAACTTCGACACAGTCCGCCAGGATGTTTTCGACCTCTTCATTCAGAGCAAGAACAGAGTGAGACGTTCAAATACACTTTATTTCCTTTGCCTTACTCTCTTAGTTTTCTCCAACATTTACAGTAATACCCATTTTGTATTGCTCAAGTGATCTTCAATCACATTTTAAATGTCAAAATGAATACTAATCAACATGTGTTGTAGTGCTACCATTATACTTCAAGCTCATACAATATGATGCATATTTTGAGTTTTGCTTTTCACTTGTCATTTCTTTTTACATATCCAACAACGTATGAAGTAAATATTGTTGTTGTGTACAGATGGTATCCAGTCTCTTCTTAAAGCACTCAGAGTTTGGGTCTCAGCAGCGGTCGCAGCGGCGCAGCAGCACGGCTCGGCGTTTTCAGGCCAACACGGTCAGCGCGAAGTTTCAGAGCAGCCTGCAGGAGCTGCTGGAGAAGATGGAGAGGTTTGAGTTAAACATTTTACCTTTAGGGACAATAATTCATTACATTTTTTTTATTGGAGCGCTTTTCCAGGTGCTCAAAGCGCTTTACATTACAATGAAGTAACCTCTGGCACACCTTTATAACATCATTTGAAAATGGTACAGTTGTATTCCAATTGCATCCTATTTTCCACTGCTTTTTTACAACTCTTTAAATGCCCAAAATAAATGCATGCAAACATGAGTGCCATCATTCATTCCAACATGAATGAATGCATGTTTAGCTCCTGATAAGGTTAACATGTAACTCTAATACATTTACTGAGAGGTACTGCAAGATGTAGAGAGTATAATACGGGAACGGGAGTTACTAATTATTGTTATTGTCTTGTGCCTTAAAAGACAATGAAAACTGAACAATGGGCCTCATTCAACAATATCTTACCAATGTTTCACTTAAATGTGTTGTGTTTACATTTTAAATATAAGTGGGTCAGTTTTTGTAGAAGCCATTCATATTGGGAAAATGCATTTGCTTTGCTTAATCTGAGTTTAGTCCTTTGTTTTATAGATTAAGAAAACAAGGCCCTGGAGTGCATTAAGTCTGAAACTGTTTATACTGTATGCTTCAATTGTGAAACCATGCAATGCTATAATGATTTATTGTTCAGTCGGTTTTCCTCAGTTTCAAATCATACTTTCATTTATTTATCCATGCGTTCGTTCTCATCTATCTGTGACAGGTGTAACCCTTATTTTGTGCGATGCATCAAGTCAAACCATCGTAAGGTATATTTGCATGTTGGATGGTGTGTGCAGGTTTGCAGTGTTTTGTTTCGTTTTTTTGGATTGAATTGTAACAGTTCATGCAAATGATGT